CTTTCCATAAAAACGGATCTGACACGTCTAGCACTAATAAAGAAACAAAACAAGGAGCGCCTCCACCACTTCCTGAAAATCATTCCCTAATAATAAACCAACGATTGCTTCTGGTGGTCCGTCGTCGTGGCAGTTTTGCAAAAAGCCCTTCAGTTTACATGAAATCAAACCACAGTATGTTTTAAGTGTTCCAAACAGTAAAACGTTTCATTTTGCATAAACACCCCTGTAGTTTCCGATATTCAACCGCAGTCCTGTGTAAGTGTATTACATAAAACAAAATTCCACCACGCTAAAACAAATATGCTCTTGCTGAGATTGAAACCCAAGATGTGCCCTCTAAAGTCTAGCGTGGTACTCTTGCTGAGATTCAAACCCAAGATGTGCCCTCTAAAGTGTAGAGTGGTGAACCACTAGGCTAGCTCATTGTTTCTGATGATAATTTAGTTGTCGTCCCTACTTATACGCGTGTCAACCTTGCATGCACCAGTGCGTTGTTGTAAAAATAAGAGAGGGGCCGTATATATTTAGTCCCACCTCACCTCCTTCCACAAAATTCGACCAATTTAAATACACTAGCAAAAGAGCCCATGCGTTGTAACGAAAGAGAAAACGTAACACACGCTCTTAACCCAACAACCATCATTCAAGACCACAGTAGGTCCATCTCCTTTATTTTTGCGAGGCATCACATTTGTGTTGCCGCTTATCCTCCTTCTCATCCTCGCCGGCGATGGCCTCGGTGTTCACACAAAACAACAAAAAATGTGTTTGAATATGGTTAACCCTAAGGCGTCTCTCTCCCTGTCTCCTCCCTCCCCCCGTCTCTCTATATCTCTCTCTGTCTCTCGCTTTGTCTCACTCTCGCGATGAGAAATCTATTATTTTCCCCTGCGACATTTTTTAGAGGTATGCTTGTGTAGTTTTCAATGTTTTCTTTTCCCTATATGGTTATAGTGGGGTGTTTATTTGCAATCCGGATCGCCGCCGGTACGAAAGATAAACGGATGTTGCGCTATAAATTATAAGTTTACTTCCAAAACAATATTTTAAAAATACTTAACAGGTAAAATTAACATCATATTTAGATTCCACACATTTTTCTAATAAAATTTCATATATAATATGTTAAAAATCGAAGTTACAGTTTAAAAGATATGCATAATTTAGAAAATCATTTGTTTGATTTGAATATATTCTAAAATAATATTTAAAATACTTAACAAGTAAAAATAATCTTATTTTACATATTTTTCTAATCAAATTTCATATATAACATGTTCAAATCAGAGTTACGGTTTAAAAGATATGATGGATTTTAAAAAGCATTTGTTTTACTTAAATATGATCCACGGATGAAAAAAATGTAAAATAACGGTTCGGGTGTGACTTAAATCCGAACTGCGGGTTGATTTCAAGAAAACACAGGAACTTTTGTGTAAAATACGAAAAAATGATTTGTTTTAACTTAAAACAGGACTGCGGGTTGAATTCTCTGAAATAGAGGGACTTTTCTGAAAAATGTCATGACAGACGACCAGAAACCCAATTTGCTTTATTATTAGGTAAAGATATGAGAGTTGAACTCGGTAAGCCAACTCAAGAATTAATAAGAAATGACTTTGAGAAGGAGAGACACGGGATTGGTGATTCATGTGCATGGTGGAATGCTGAGAAGAGGCCAAGAAGAAACATGAACTGATGGAGAGGAAAAGAAGGAAGAAATTAATGGGTTCACAAGACATTCGAAGAAAAGAAATTAATGCAGAGGAAAAGAAGGAAGAAATAAATGGATTTGTGAGACATCTTCTCCTCTCTTGGAAAGAAGAAAATAATTAATAACCAGGATTATGAATTAATGGATTCGTAGTCATGGAAATGAAGAAATTATAATGGAAAGAGAGCCCGATTGTTTTTGGAAGTTGTTATGTGTTTTTGATCCTGGTCGGTCACATCTTTCGCATATTTAGACCAGGTGCTGCTTCTAGAGATGTACATGCCCACGAATGTCATGCTGCATAACGAGCTCATGGACCTTCAGTAGAGTACTAAGAACCTAATCTTCAGACGACCCGTCAACCACTGCCCTTATATACCAAGTGAAGTGAACGAGTCCAATGACAATAACACATCATAATCTTTTAACAGTTAGTTGTTTCTCTTCACAGTGTCTCAGGCTATCATAACAAGTGATATTGCCATTTTTCTTACCCGCAAAAAAAAAAAAGATATTGCCATTTTCCAATGCGGCTTCCTGAGAATGGTCATATTTGATTAGGATGTTTCTCCCCGCTGTGTTTACATGTACGTCAATGCCAAACTGTTCGAAAAAATTAAATACAATCATAATAGTAAGATTGAATTAGGAAAAGTCCATCTGAAATGCCAAAGTCTCTTGAAATATGTTCCGCTTCATTTCTCTGAGGAAGTACGCTGCCTGGATCAATCTGCTCTATATAGAAGCTACATAGTCAGGTTCTGTTTAAGACGAGTTCAAACTTGTACATATTTTGTAGACTTGGTTCATTTGACTAGGTTACAAATTGATAAATTCATACAATATTTTCTTTCATACACTACTGCAGGATATTGCTAACGCGACACTACGATTAGAGACCCTTCGACGAAACTTTGTGCGATGCCATAATCGCAAATGGTGGCGTAAAAAACCCGTCAAAAAGACGTAAAACATGTGCGATGACGGATGCATCAAACACAGTTCAGATTTTAGTTGCTTGTGCGATTCAGGGCATACGGTTCAGTTCAATTAACCATTTTCGATGAGGAGGAACAAAAAAAACGGGCAGCCAGATAAAGGTGTGTGCGATGTACAATATACAGTTCACTCGGATGAACTGTCTATGATTAGGCAACACAAAAGAAACGATCATCCAGATCAAGGTGTGTGCGATGTACGACATGCAGTTCACCCAGATGAACTGTTTGCGTTGAGATAAGAGAACAGAAACGGTTCAATATAACAAATACCATAAATATGGCAAGGTTCAAATTCAAAGATTACAATGCCCAAATTCAAACATTGCAAGCTGCATCATTTCTGAAAAGGGATCAGCCGCTGATAAGTCATGTATGGGTTGACAGAACACCTTCCAATTGCTTTTCCATATGCTCTACCAATACGAAGTTTGGCATTTTTGGAGGCAGTTCCATTCCACAGTACCAGCCGGCTTTGATATTCATACCATTGATCTTTCCTAATTAAATGCGTGTTCAACCTCAGTACCCTCAGCACCTTTGCTTTGGCAAGAAAGAACCCGACGAGTGTAATCTCCGGTGGGGTCCCTCGGTAGGAGTTCAAAGTAATATTTGAGAGATGCAGATCCAGACATTCGATGTGATTGTCGTTATAAACATCTTCCACCTCCGGGCCTAATATGACCTGCAAAAGAAGAGAATGTGTTAGTGCCTACATGCAGTTTTGAACACTGCTACACGCCCATTTGGTTTGCAGGATTTGTAAAATGCACCAATGTGCCATCTTCGACCTGGCATGATTAACATGGGAATTCGATTAGAATCTACTCCCTCCGTCCCATAATGTAAGACATTTTTTGACACCACACTAGTGTTATAAAATGTCTTACATTATGGGACGGAGGGAGTAGAAACATGTAGCCTTCTTCACAAGAGGTTGGATTGGATGAAAAATTCCCTAAGAAAACTAGTACAGATGAATCCAAAGGAGAAATGCTTATGGACGATTGTAACCATA